CAATAGGCACAGTTAGCTGAATGTAGCACGCTACTAGCGTCATTCATACTTTAAAAATGATCGACGTACAATGTCTGGGTGCCTGGTGACGAAAGTGCTGCGCTAGGATGACGCCAAAATCCTCTAGCGATGCGAACTCGTGCTTCTTTGCCAACACCCACACCGTATTCTTGACCGAGTCCGTGGGCAGCACGTGACCATTGTCGCCCTCGTAGTAGGCGCTGGCGGCGAGCGCACCCTCCAGTAGCACTTCCGCCTCCAGCTGAATCACCGAGTGCTTCTCGGGCGTGCGAGTCACCTTGAGCATGCGCACGCGGCCCTTGCCGTGCTCGTGCTGCACGAGCTTGACAACCATCGCGGAGGAGAAAACGGGGGAAAGCTCCTGCTGAGCTGCTGCTGGCTGAATGCAAATCGCTGAATGACCAAGTTGTTGCGACCGTTGGCGATGTTGAAATTGACGTCATATGGATGAATAATATTCTCTCTGCCGGAAAAACCACTATATTATAGTGGTTTTTCCGACAGAGAGGTTTTTAGTAAAATATTAGAGTGGCTCCGACAGAGAGGTTTTTAGTAAAAACTTTTACGATTGTGTGCGTCGTTATTTTTTAATAACGACGGCTCCTAGTTCCCACCCTTTTAGCCAATTAAATCACGCTGGTTAGGGTTTGAATTTCGACGACTCCGACAGCAGAATCTGTAGACATTATCGAGAATATGACAAATAGGCAAAGTCCTAGTACAAGCAGCGAAAAGTGTTGTCCCTCTTCGATCAACCACACAAACCCCCTTGTAAAAAAGCATACCGCAGATGAGCCTTTCGGCGTTTATCCCAACCAACACGCAAAAAGCGCGCACCGCCGGAGTCAGCGCCTTTGAGCGTATGCTTAAGTCCGAAAATGTGTCCATGGACGTGGTCCAATCCAGCATTCATTCTGGCTAGACCTGCAAAACGTTGGCGGCCGTGATGGACCGCTTCGGCTACTACTTGGCCACTCGTGAAGGTAAGAAAGAAAAACTGGCGCATAACACGACCATCTCATACTATAGAAGCGTTAAGCTTTGGTTCTTCGATGAGTACCCACACCAACGGAGCTGATCCTACTCAAACAGGAAAAGACCCTAGAAAAGCATTGCCTAAAACGTGATAATGGTTTTTTTAACTAACAAGGTGTGGTGAAGTGCTTTCTCAGAAATAAGAGAATGGGCCTGACGCGGGGTCACTATCCCGAATCAGTGACAATTTCAAGTGATTAGAGAGGATTTGGGTTGGTGGCACGGATGCAAGTTGCCTGTGGTGGATTAGCCATGACGAGCGGCACCCCGTATGGAATGACAATGGATCTGGTATGAGCGATGCACGGGAAGACAAGATCCACCAAGACCTATCTCGGATCCACCCTTACCTGGATTTACTTAGGTGGATATGGGATACACTATGTACCAGTGGATCGAGTGTGGATCCTATGAAGGAATGGTGGTAGGT